ATTTCCTGACATAACAATAAACCTTTTAAAACCATGGACTTCCTTGTGTCTTTGGCCCCCCCCCCCCCCCCGCTGTGAGGAACTGTGGAGAAGGCCTTTGACTACTAGAGCCACTGCTTAATCTCTGGCCAGAAGACTTCTCTATATTCCTACTGTGGAGACTGCCAACTCAAGCAAGCCAGTGACCCAGCCAAGTGAGTGCCATAACCAAGAGTTTCTTACCCCGTGGGGCACTGCCTGAACTTTGCCGTCTCACCCCTCTTGGCTGTGGGCTGGTCTAGCCCATACACCTCCAGTCTAAACTCTTCCATGGCTCCAAGAAGCTCCTGGGACCAGTCTGAGACCAGTCGGATCCCTGCAAGCCTTCTTGTCCAGGGGGTTCCCATCCAAGAGCTCTGCCCCAGAGGGACTTCAGGTTGAGACCTCACCATGCCTGTGCAGAGGCTGGCAGCTGCTCACAGCCCAGCATTCACCAGGCTCTGCATGGAGGGAACTCAGTCAAATTCCAGTGCTTCTGCCTCCCTGAGCCGCAGCAGACACATGGAACCACCACACAGCCCAACAGAACCCACGCCCACGCTCAACATACAACTCTGAAAAAAGGGACTAGCATGATGAAGCCATATATGCCATTTTTGAAGCTTGACCAAAATAGAAATATTGACCTCAGGCCATGGGTAATTTTATCTACAGTATCTACCACATCAACACTCAGCAGAGCAGCATTCTTGAAATTCATAAGCTCCCTATGTATCTTTAAAACTTCCAGAGAGGTGTTAGAATTATGCCAAATACACTGCATGTGTCATTAAACTTCTTCCTAATTATATAATGACTACCATGTAAACTTTAGGACTAACAGAATCAAAAAGAGAAGTTACAATGCCTCTTGTATTGCTATTAAATGTGACCAGTTATTCGGACTCAATCATGGACTGGTCTAGAAATCATTCTAAGTTGGGGCAGGATCTGGATTTCAAACAGATGGTAGCACATGTGTTAAGGCTTTTTTAATTGTGAAGTTAAAAATATTTTTGTTTCTTCTACAGTATTTAATGTAAGTTGCATTGATTGTACACCTTCTAATTGTGTTTGTGTTTTGGAATCTGCCATGTCAGTTATGGAGGTCTATTAACCAGCTTTTGTTTTAGTGCCCTGAGTATCAACAGAACCTTTGTATTCTAAAAATAGCTTGCAAGTACTGGAACAAATGAGGCAGGCTTTAAGCAGAAGCAAAAGGGTAGTTTCACAATGGAATATTACCTAGCTAAGAAAAGAAAAGACATCACGAAATTTTCAGGCAAATGTATGAAACTAAGTGAGGTATCCAGAACCAGAAGGACATGTATGGTATGTACTCAGTTATAAGTTGATATTAGCTACAAAGTACAGGACACCCATGCTATAATCCACAGACCCACAGAATCTAAATAAGGAGGGCCCAAGGGAGACTGCTTGAATTTCACTCAAAAGGGGAAATAAAATAGTCACCAGATATTGAGGGAGGGAAGTGGGTAGTATAAAGGTGGGGAACTGGGTGGGAGAGAGGATAGGGAGGTTAACAGTGAGGGCAGGATCAAGTGTAGTGGGAGACTAGGAGAGGATGGAAAACTGAGGCCAGCTGTGGGTTGGTTGACAACTCTAGTACTTGCTAGAGACTAGGAATGTGGGAGGCTCCACTGAGTCTGAGAGTGACTCTTTATGATACTCCTAGCAGTGGTGGATATAAAGCCTGAAATGGCTACCTCCAGTTGCCAGGCAGTACTCCTGGTAGAGCAGTAGAGGACTAAGAACATCAACTCACCCATAAAACCTTCACCCAAAATGTGTCCTGCCTACAGCAACTGCAGGGACAAAGATGGATCTGACACTAAGAGAATGGCCAGAACAGTGACTAGACCAAATGGAGACTAATCCCATGGGCAAGTGCCAATCCCTGACACTATTAATGATATTCTGTTGTGCCTGCATAACTGTTCTCTGAGAATTCCACTCTACAGTTGACCAAAACATATGCAGAGACCCACAGTCAAGCATTAGGAGCTCAGGAAGTCTTGTCGAAGAGTTGGAGAAAGGATTAAGAGACCCACAGGGGTTAGGGATTCCACAAGAAGACCAAAAGAGTTTACTAACCTGGACCCCTGAAGGTCTCAGAGGCTAAAACACCAACCTAGCCCCCCTGGACATATCTAGAAGATGTACAGCTTGGTTTTCATGCAGGTTTCCAGCAATTGGAGCAGGGGCTGTTCTTGAATCTGTTGCCTGTCTGTGGATCCTGTTTCTCTGACTGGGCTGCCTTGTCTTGGCCTCAGTGGAAGAGAATATACTTAGTCCTACAGTGATGGGGTAATGGGGGTTAGGGGCTGTGTGAGGGGGAGCTGGGAGGAGATTGGGGGAACTGAGATTGTGATGTAAAGTGAATAAATAAATAATTTAAAAAAGAATACAGGAAACATTCAAAGCACAGAAATGCCAATTCACCTTTTATCTTTCTCTGTCATTATTCATTTTAGTCCCCTATGTCCCTTCTCTGTGGAAATTGAAATTATGCTTTAGAGAAGACAAATATAAACATGAGTCACAGCAAGTTGTTCAACAAGAAGAAATTGAAATATAGCTTTGAATAAGGAACTTGTTTTCTGTTATGAGAAAAATGCGCTATTGGGCTATTCATCCCCAAAGGTTTAAAAGTATCACTGAAGACTCTAGATGTCTTGTTTGTTTTTTCTGTTGCTGTGATAAAACAGTGACCAAAAACAACTTTGGGAGGTAAGGGTTTATTGTTCCACTGAGGTTACAGTGTAGCATAAAAGGAAGATAGCAGACAATCAAGGCAAAAGTCTGAAGGCAGGAACTGAAGCAGAAGCCATGGAAGAGTAAGACTTACTGGCTTGTTCCCTATGGCTTGCTCGGCCTGCTTTCTTATATACCCCAGCCTGCCCAGAGGTGGCATAGATGTTCCCACAGGTCACTCTAATGGAGTCAACTTCTCAACCATGTTTACTTTTACACAGAGAGCTCAGGCTGTGTTGAGTTGACAAAACTCAACCAGAACACTAGAAATTGTTGTCTTTTCTTCTTTTCTGTTTTTACTTTAATTTCTTTGTTTCCCTCCTATCATCACCCTTTTCTTTCTATTATTTTTAAATATTTTCATTAATTTTATACAGGACATTTTGATCATATTTATCCCCTTCTTATCCTCTTAACTACTCACAGATCCATCTCCTTACTTGCCCCACTCACTTTTACGAACTTCTTTTTAAATAATCCCTCAATTTGTGTCTGTTACTATTTTAAGACTAATAATTCTTATGTAATTAGTACATTATAATTTATGATCTTATTTATACAATATCGCATTAGATCATTTTATAACTTTTAATATTTACCTGAATACTTATGCCATGTATAAGTCATAGGTTTATGTAAAGCACACACTGAACTGATTATTTGTTAAATCCTATCTTTGTTTTATGTATATCAGTGTACATGTGTAAAAGTGTAGTGCCATATATGTGAAGTGCCCATAGAGGGCAGAAGATGATACCAGATCACCTGGAACTAGAGTTACATAATGTTCTGAGCTGCCACATGAGTGCTGAGAATAAAGCCAAGATGTTCTAGAAGAGCAGTCACTGTTTTTAACTGATGAGCCACCATCCAGTCCCAAACTGATCATTTTCAAAGGAAAAAAATAAAATAAATTCCTCATATTATTTATGAAAATCACAACTAAGTATAGAAATATACTTCTAAGAATGGGAGAACACAAAAGATGTTGCTGTATGACACTTAAGCTGAGAAGAATGTGAAGTTTCAATAAGATACAGAGTGGAATGAAGCATCTCCTGAACCTATTGAATAATATTGAGAATGACCTTAGCCTATCATAATAGAGTAGAAAAGGCAAAATACTACGGCAAGCTTCAGGAGAAGGAAGATGCAAAAAGCTTGTATGTTCAAGTAAAAGAGTTCAAACTAATTTTCAGATATAGTAGAATAAAATTGAAGGATTTGACACAGAGAAATAATATTCTACTCATCTGTTTTATTAGTGCTGAGAAATATAAATATTATGTGATTTTATAAATTACTTTGAGTTCTAGTACCCACAGTAGAAGATAAATAAAAATGAAATATATAAAATTAAATTTTAATTTACTTAATATATATTTAAAATATTATAACATAAAACCAATTTTAAATGAAGAAATATCTTTTTGACATTTGTATGCAAAGTTTACAAAATCCTGCAATATTGTTACATGGATAGCAGATCATACATATTGTATACGCTCATTTGCCTTATGTGGCTAATTGTTATCATATTGGCTAATTAAAGCCTGTAAAACTTACTTTGCAGGCTGGGTAGAAAGTAAATTATAGAGAAATGAGCAAAAGAAAGTGTATGTATTTCCTATAGCTGCTGTACAGCAACTCGTCACAAAGTCAATTACTGTAACAAAAATTTTATTCTATAGTTGTGGATGTTAGGGTTCTAGGATGAGGCTCAGTGTATTAATATCAAGGTGTTCTCTAGGACATTTTCCTTCCAGAAGCTCTAGGAATGAATTGATTCCCTTACCCTTTCCGGCTTCCACACACATTTTCTGATTTTATTTTATCATTATTCTGCCCTCAAAGCAAATCTAATCGGACCAACTCTATTTTTTGCCATCTCTCTCATCTTCTCACTTCTGCCTTCCTCACTGGAATCATCTTTATAAGCGATTGTGATTTCTACGTCTGCAGGTGAGTTGTTCAGGCACTGTAATTCACTGTCACCAATGTCACCTAACATGTTCACATGTTCTAAATAATAGAGCAGGTTGCTTTTATTGGTGGCTTTATTTTGTTTAGTATATTATCATTCTAAACAAGAAACAATAAAAGGTTACTATTCTATAGAAGAACTATCATATGACAAAACTTCTAAAATACAGAAACCTGCAAAATAGAAATTAAATACCAAACATTATCCTATAATACTTCATCACATTCTCACTTTGACAGCACGCATAATAAAATTAAAATGATACAGAGAAAAGTAACATGGTCTCTGGAAAAGGAAGACATGCACATTCTTGAAATGTTCATTTTTTTCTTTCCACTTTTCTTTGAGGATACGATAACTGATAGGCTTCCTATAGATGAGTGGATGATCCCACAGCCATTTGCATATGGAAAACACCAGTTGAACCAAGTAGGTTATATATAAAAGAATTTGAATTTAAAAGAATATGTTTGGAGGTTGTGGAAAAAGGCAAACACTCCTCCACTGCTGATCGGATTACAAACTGGTACAACTACACTCTGGAAATCAATCTGGTGGTTCCTTAGAAAATTGGAAATAGTTCTACCTGAAGACCCAGCTACACCACTCTTGTGCATATACTCAAAAGATGCCCCATCATACCATAAGGGCACATACTCCACCATGTTCATAGCAGCCCTATTTGTAATAGCCAGAAGCTGGAAACAACACAGATGCCCTTCAACAGAGGAATGGATACAGAAAATGTGGTACATTTACCCAATGGAATATTATTCAGCTATTAAAAATGAGGACATCATGAATTTTGAAGGCAAATGGATGGAACAAGAAAATAACATCCTGAGTGAGGTAACTCAGACCCAAAAGGACATGCGTGGTATATACTCACTGATAAGTGGATATTAGCCAAAAAGTACAGAATACCTAGGATACAACTCACAGATTGTAAGAAGAGTAAGAAACAGAAATGCCCAAGTGAGGAGGTTTCACTTAGAAGGGGGAAGGAAATAATCACTGGAGGCTATGGGAGGGAGGGGCTTGGGAAGAAGAGGGGAAGGAGAGCAGAAAAGGCAACAGGATCAGATATTGGGGGAGGGAATAGTAGAGAAGCCCAGAGGGCCAAGAGAATAAATGGAAATAAGCAGTCTCTGGGAGTGGGAGGTCAGAGGTGGGGAACCCTCTAGAGAGTACCAGAGATAAGACACTCTCAGGACTCATTGGGGATGACCTTAGTCAAAATGCTGAACATTGGGGAAAGGGAACTCTAAGAGTCCACCTCTAAGTAGATAGACAGGGCCTCAAGTAGAGGGACAGGGTTACTAACCCACAGTCAAAATTCCTGAACCAGAATTGTTCCTGTCTAAAAGAACTGCAGGGACAAAGAGAAGAAATTGAAGGAAATGAGGTCCAATTACTGGCCCAAATTGGGATCCATCTCTTTGGATGGGGGCACCAAGAACTGACACTATTACTGATGCAATGGTATACTTATAGACAGGAGCTTAGCATGGTTGTCCTTGGAGAGGCCCCACCAGCAGCTAACTGAGATAGATGCAGATATTTACAGTCAACCATTGGACTGAAGTTGGTTACCCCTGTGGTTGAATTATGGGAAGTATTGAAGATGCTGAAAGGGAGAGCAACCCCACAGGAAGACTAGCAGTCTCAACTAACCCAGACCCCAGGAAGATCCCAGAGTCTGAAACACCAACCAGGAGCATAAACTGACTGGTCTAAAGCCCCTGGCACATATGTAGCAGAGGTTTACCTGGTCTGGCCTCAATGGGATGTGATGCACCTAATCCTCTAGAGACTTGAGGACCCAGGAAAGGATCATGCCTGGTGGGGTGATGGAAGAACCCTCTCAGAGGCAAAGGGGCAAGAAATGGGATGAGGAACTGTGGGGGGGGGGCTGAGAGGGGCAACGACTGGAATGTAAATAAAATAATTTAAATTAAAAAAGAATATATTTAGGATAATCTGGATGGAGAAAACAGATATAATTGAGATACACATCATATACATATATATCAATTATATCTTCATATACATGTATAAAATTTTCAAAGAATAACTAAATTTTTAAACTGTATCACATAAAAATATTCTTTAATATTTATTAAGCATCATTTTATCGATCTCTCTGTGTAAAGATAGGAATATGAAGATGGAGTAAATTAAATTTTATAAAAATATTATTACATAATTACTAATTAAGATTAAAATTATAAAAGTAAAATTATACATTTAATATGTTGACCTGAAACAAAGAGGAAACACAAACCAAAGCTAATTAGAAGAAATTATTGAGTTTCCATGTATTTTTCTTCAAAACATGTATTAATTTGTTAATTATGTCCCTGAGATTTATAAATTCTTTCAAAGTATTGAAGTTTGGGCTATTGCACATCAAATTTCACATTTCAAACTTCAAATAACATTCTATCATACACTTATAATGAGAAAGGTCTATGAAACACAGGCAGCTGAAATAATTTGTCCAGAATCTAAGTATCTTACTATTCTGCTGTCCTTAGTAGGCCCTTTATTCTACTGACTTTGAGTATAAGTTCATTTTTTTCTTCTTATCTATTCCTTTTTGTTCAATGAGAGATTCCCTGGTTGAGACCATGCTATACTTTACTGAGACAATAAAAGTAACTAGAAAGGGATTTTATAATTAGAAAATTAAAGTATGCTTATTCTTCCATATTATTCCTTCCTCCTCTTAGTTATATATAAAAGTCTTCATAAATTCTTTGTGCAATGGATAATACTGCTTTCAGATTTTCATGAACATTCACATTACAAATAATTCACCTTTCTCTTCCAGTATAAAAATATCACTGTGTACAAATTTGCTTTCACCTACAAAGGTCAAACTCTTGTATCTCCAATCCTGAAATAAACAAAATCCCATCTACTGAATGAGTTGTAGGATCTTGTTTCCTTTCGTTCATGCTTTCTTAAAATTTCACATTCTCATTCCATAGCCACTGCTCAATGAACATTTATGATGCTTTTTGTTTAACCCCTTAATTGCTATATTGTCAAATATGATAAGGATTATTTCTCAGTGCTTTTTTTTAAACTCTTAAAGTTTTAATTTTTTAAAATTGTATTTTTTAATTTTTGAGCATTTTATGCTCATGTTCGCTTGTGTACTACCTGCATGTCTGAGACCTGTGAAGGTTAAAAGAGGATATTTTGTCCTTTGGAACTATAGTTATGGATGTTTGTATGCTACTGTGTGGGTGCTGGAAATCAAACACAGCTCCTTATAGAGCAATGATTTCTCTGAGCCATCTGTCTAAGACCTCATTTCTCAGTTATTATAGTTATCATCTAAACAACATTTGGCATAGCTTAAAACACCCACTCCATTGGTATGCTCTCTTTCTGTCGATGTCCTTCATTATGGCAGTCTTGATTTTCTTATGTGACAGATAATCTTGATTATCAAGATTAGAGCATAATCTAATCTGATATAATGAATGAACTACTAGCTTGTAGTTGTAGGAAGTAAATTGACGGGAATAGGGTCTTAGGATATGTCTTATGGTTTTACTGTTATGAAGAGACACCATGATCAAGGCAATTCTTATAAAGGAAAACAGTAAATTGGGGCTGGCTTATAGATTCAGAAGTTCAGTCCATTATCATCATGGCAATTAGCACAACAGTCTCCAGGCAGGCATGGTACTGGAGGAGCTAAGAGTTCTATATCTTGTTCAGAAGGCAAACAGGAGAAAACTGACTTCCATGTGGCTAGGAAGATGATCTCAAAGCACATCCTACAGTGACACAATTCCTGCAACAAGGCCACATCTAAACCAACAAGGCTCATACCTTCTAATAGTGCCACTTCCTGGACCAAGCATATTCAAATCACCACAGAACTATATCTTGCCTTGGCCATTTTCTGTATTCTTTCTTTCACTGTTTCGTTGTGTTTGTTTGTTTGCTTGCTTGTTTGTTGATATGAGGTACTCTACTGCACTGTTCTTACCATAAAGGATGGAAATTGTTGAGTAAAATAAATTCTTCCTCCTTTAGGTTGTTTCTGCCAGTGATGTGAATGGATAAAGAAAATGTGGTTCACTTGCATGATACAATATTACTCAGCTATTAAAAATGAGGACATCATGAAATTTGCTGGCAAATGGATGGAACTAGAAAACATCATCTTGAGTAAGGTAACCCATATTAAAAAGAACATGCATTGTATGTTCTCACTGAGAAGTAAATATTTTCTATAAAGTGCAGAATACCCAAGCTACACTCTACAGACACAAAAGAAGCTAAATAACTAGGGCTCAAAGGAGGATGCTTGGATTTTACTCAGATCAGAAAGGAAAATAAAACAGTTATCAGAGGTGGATAGAGGTAGGGAACTGAGTGGCAGAGGGGATGGGGAGGGAAATGAGAGTGGAGATCAGATAGAGGGAGAGCCTAGAAGAGAGAGATCCAGGAGAGTGAATGAAAATCAGCAATATCCCAGGGTAGGGAAGCATCTCTAAGCCAGAGAGTCTAAGAGGGTGGATCTAGTTGAGACTCCTAGCAGTGGTAGATATGAAGCCTGAAATGGTTACCTCCTGTAGACAGGCAGTACTACCAATAGAAGGATAGGGTGATTGAATTGGGGAAAAGCTGGAAGAAGCTGAGGAGGAAGATGGCCCCATGGGAAGACCAGCAGTCTCAACCGACTTGGACCCCTGATATCACTCAGACACTGAGCCACCAACCAGGCAGCATACACCAGTAGTTGATATGGGGCCCCGACACATATACAGCAGAGGACTGCCTGGTCTGGCCTCAGTGAGAGAAGATACATCTAACTCTTGAGAGACTCAAGACCCCAGAGGGTAGGGAACCTGGTGGGACAGGGACATCCTCTTGGAGACTGGGGTGGGGAGCTAATACCCTTTGGTTGGAGATATAATATACTTAAGACTTTGTACTTAGTAGAATTGAAACATAACTGACCCAGAAGCTCATTCCCTAAGAACTAGCTCTCATACTATCCTAAGTTGATATGCGAAATTGCTAAGAGAGAAAAGCAATCACTGGTCCTAGTCTATAAATGATAGTTTGAGATAGTCTACTCCCAAGCATGCAACAGTGGTACTTATATATCTTGGCTATCTAATTAGACTTAAGAACCACTTTACAGGAAGCAATTCATGCCCAGTACTACAAACTTAGTCGACTCTCTGTGGCTGGTGATTCCATGTGCCCTGGAGGAGTACCCACTATTGCCACTTTCTCAAACTAGTATAATTCCCAAAAACCTATCCATATATCCACAGAGAAGTCTTAGTCTCACCCCT